TACATAAAAATAAAAATTAAGACCAAAAAAAGTATTTTTTCGAAAAAATACACGATTTGAAAACAAAAATTTATCCAAAACGGACAACCGAGTCAAAAGTTACGCCTTCGCAAAGTTTTTAACACAAAATTCTAAAAAAAAAATCGGCGGTTTGGAGGGCTAGGCGGTCTAGGAGGCCGCTTAGCCGGCCGGTCGCGGAGGAGGCTGGAATGCGGCGGCGGGTGGCCGCCTAGCGCCTAGGCGCGATTTTTGCAATACTGAGGTCAAGTAATTCTATTCATTGTAATTCGAGTCTATGAAATGCGTGTCAGTTAGGGAAATCTGCCCGATTCCCACTACCACGTGTCGAGTCATCTAGTTCCAACATTCTTGATTTAATATACACAGATATTTGGGGTCCAACTACTTTATTATCCATTGATGGCTATCGGTACTTTGTTATTTTTGTGGATGATCACTCACGCTATACTTGGTATTATCCCATTAAATTAAAATCTGATCTGTATACCATCTTTGATAAGTTTCGTATTATGGTAGAGCGTTCCTTCAATAGAAAAATTAAACCCATTCAATCTGATCTAGGGGCTGAATATAAGAAACTACATCACTGTTTTATTCAGTTAGGAATTACTAATAGACATTCATGTGCCTACACTCATGAACAAAATGGTCTTGTCGAAAGAAAGCATAGACACATAGTTGAAACAGGTTTAACTCTCATGGCTCGTGCCTCTGTTTCGTATAAATTCTAGGATTTTTCTTTTGAGACTACTGTGTATTTAATCAATAGAATGTCATCTACTGTGTTAAATAACTCCAGTCCTCACTTAGTTCTGCATAAATCCCCTACATCCTACTCTTTCCTTCGTGTCTTCGGGTGTCTATGTTACCCTTATTTACAACCATATAACCGTCATAAAGTGTCATACAGATATTCTCTCTGTGTCTTTCTAGGTTATCTTGAGTCATTCCGGGATTATAGGTGCTTGGACTTACAGACTAATAAGGTTTATGTGTGCAGACATGTGCGGTTTGATGTGGCTATTTTTCCCTTTGCTACTAAGAATGTTTTACTGTAACACCCCGTGTTACGACCCCTAAAACCAATTATCCAAAGAAAGAATTAAATTACAATAATTGATTAAGGAAAAGGCCCACCATGGTCCGTGGGCCGTCACCCCTAAAACCCAACCCCTAGCCCTAAAAGGAATAGAATTAGCAAGCCTATAATATTAATTCCTAATTAGGACTCCTAAATATATAAATAGGGGACTTAAGAGGCACCTAGAACCCCCCACCACAATAATCCCTCACCACACAAGAAGTTCCAAGAATTCCCCTAGGAGAAATCAAGAAAGACCCTTCATAGCCAAGGAATTAATTAAGGCTAAAAGGTAACCCATGTCTCAACAAAACCTATTTTCATAGCTATGATTCCCCTCTTAGGATTTCCCCATATTATTGTGTATTGATGATTTGTGATATTATTATTGATGATTGGTGGAATGATTCCATGGGTGATCTTGATGATGAGAGGTTCTTGATAATTATGGTGTTCTTGATGATTATATGACGTTCTTGATGATTATATGATGTTCTTGACGTTTTTAATGATTATATGATGTTCTTGATATTTATATGATATTCCTACCGAATCTTGATTTTAGAAAATGAATTGTGTTCTTGTTGATTTAAAAATAATTAGAACCCTAGGTTATATCGTGGAATTCGTATGGCATTATTCTTGGTATATTGGGTGGGAATTCGCATGATTGGGTGTTGATTATGTTTAGAAAAGCATGATAGGTTATGTGCCGTATGTTTCTTGATTTTGATCCATTAATTGTTTACGTGTGTTATCAATTGCGTTTGAAAGTGTCTAAGCGTGGTTTCGGGTTCCACAAAGGTTCCTGGGGCGTTTTTGGTGAAAAAGAGTCAGTGGGGGGTAGGGGACCCGCCACCTACCCAGGGCCAAAATAGGTCTCGCCGGCAGCGGGCAGCCGGCGGGCGGGCAGCTGCCCGCCAGGCACCCGCTGCCCAGAACAGTGCCGCCGGCGGGTGACCCCTCACCCACCGGCTACCCGCTGGTTTGTACCCCACCTTGGGATTTTGGCTTCCCCGTTTGATGTTCCGCCGACCCCCGTGGTGTCCCAACGGACTCCGTCTATCGTGCCTATATCTAGTTTGATATTTCGGGTACCGTTCGTAGGTTGTATGAGTCTTATATATTGCATGCTAGTTGAATTGGTATCCCGTTGACCTAGGTGAAAGAAGTATGCACCCCTTAGGATTATTCTTAGTATGTGAAGGATCACACATAGGTTTTGTTATACGTTTTCTCCCCCTTCCCAATGTGTTAATGTGGGTTGCATGTGCTTGCTATGTGTTATGTGTGCATGATACCCAAATCTGGTTGCGATCGGATTGGTTATTCCTGAGCTGCGGTTCAGAAGCTGGCTGCGGTCAGATTTATACTCTCGGGCTGCGGTCCACCATTTGGTTGCGATCAAACGTTTCTACATGAGCTGCGGTTCATATTTCCTGGCTGCGGTAAGATGACATACTCTTGGGTTGTGGTCCACTGTTTGGTTGCGATCAAACTATGATGAGCTGCGGTTCATCGGTCGGTTGCGATCGACCCCTCCGTGTTGCGATACGGGGCAGGGTGCTGCGGGGCCGTGTCAGAGCTATATGCGCTGACCCTCATGTATGGGCATGCGATTGGTCCTGTGGCACCAACAAAGTGTGCTATGTGATGAAATATGGATGAGTCGTTATTATGAGTGTCTTGGGGATGTGACTATGGGATTTATACCGGGAATCGTATATGTTGGGTTATGATTATTATTTGTGCTTATATTGACCTGTCTTGCCTGTTGTGAACTGTATATGCTTGGTATAACCGTTGTCTATGCTTAGCTTTATCTGTCGATTCTATCCCTGTTTTAAAAGCTAGAGTCTCGTAGGATATATCTTCATGCTTCAAAATTTATGTCTATATGTATTGTATTTCAACGTGTTGGAGTGGGTTACCAGCATCTCTCGTTGAACAGATATATTTGGCTTTCAGGCACAGACGAGTAGATCACTGGAGCGCGCTAGAAGCTTGGGGCGTAGCTTAGATAGTGTTCCCTTTCGGCCTGCGTGCCGTGATTTAGTATTGATACTGATTGAGGTTCTAGAATTTAGTCTGTGCACCTGAGTTCTCTAGCTCGGGTGTGGCATAACACCCCGTACTCTTTGTATCGTATTTTGGGATTTAATGAGATTCTATCTTTATTATATAAGTTTTAAAAGTCTTGAAAATCTGGGGTGTTACAATATGAAAGTATATTGCACATTTCAATAGGTTATGAACTCTATTGTTTAGTATTTTCCCATCTGACTACCAAAACCGTGATGTTAAAACCACATATGAAGTAATAAAATAGCTATATGTTACTCTTATCGCCCATTGTGCTTTCTTTGAAGTTGGAGGGAGGGTTATTCTTATTCTTGTTATTTGGTTACAAATACGGAATACTTGTGATGCAATTTTGCCCTTTATGATCTATTCGGAGCAATTTTTTTTTCTAATTTAAAACAAAAAAGAAAACAAGAAACTACAGACATTCATTTCATTTTACATTCCTGATGGTGCACTCGTGATGTTAGTTCTGTACTAATTTTTTTATCATTTCCTGTTTATTCATAGATTATTATTTTGCATAAGTTAATACTCATGATGCCTTTTTTTTTTTTCATGGAATGGATGTCTTCGTTTAGAGACAAGTCAGAGGAGGGCCCAAGTAACAAGTGGTGCTGCTGCACTTAAAGGCAAATTGCATGCGTTTAATCAGATTTTGTTGGAGGATTTTGGATGATGTGTATGTGGAAAAATGAACAAGCTTTTCACATTTGTTATCTTATATTAATTGCAGTGTATTAGTCAACAAGTGGGTAATTACATGAGAGATCCAAGCAAAATGATAAATAGGGATGGCAATGTGCCCCGTCCCCGTAGGGGACGGGGAAAAATTCCGGGGATCGGGGACGGGGACGGGGACGTTTTTAAAATCCCCGCCGGGGACGGGGACGGGGACGGGGATACCCCTCCCCGCCCCGCCCCGTCCCCGAAAATGAAATAAAAAAATAAAAAAGATATTATATATATTAGAAATTAGGAAATTAGTTATTTAATTTTATACTTTTGATTACTTAACATATTTATAGTTAAGGCAGTAAGAAACTAAGGAAGGGACCAAAATAAATATATTATTTCCATGTGAATCTCAGCTACGTCTGTATCATTAATTCTCTATTAGGGAGAAATTATATTATTTCCATGTGAAGAAGGAAGACTGGCTGTGTCGCTACTCTCTCGATCAGACTTCGGCAGTTTGGCAGTCCCATCTTTCGTCGGTCACAGACGCACAGCAGGTGAGTAGGCAGCAGTCTTCGTCGTTCACTGAGTATAGTTGGTCATAGACTCGCAGGCAAGCGGTAGCAACTCATCGTCCGTACTCCGTCGCCGGTCTAAATCCGATGAATCGTTCCAATGGTAGTAATCTTCGTCCATCACAGCCTTCACAGCCACCACCATCACAGCCACCGCCTTCACAACCACATCCTTCACAGCTACCACCTTCACAGCCACCAGTAAGTTTTAACTTTTATCGTTGAAGAATGAAGAGTATATATTCAATGTTGATTGTTGATTATTTTGCATGCAACCATATTCAAGTTTTAAGTTTTAACGTTGTATGCACTGTGAATATATTATAATCTATGAATAAATTATATTATTAGAAAATATTGAATGTTGATTAGTTATTACAGCCATGTACCTCTAAAAGTTAATCAAAACTCATAAAGTGAATGTGTGTTCACTGTGCAATTTGAAATTTTGCATGTTTATTTGTATTACTTAAATTTAATCATATAATTCACAACACTAATAATCTAATATAGTAAAATATTTGTATTGTAATTGTTTAAAGGGGTGTGATGTATTTGTTGAGATGGGAGGGGGAGATGCACCGAGTGCAACTCAAGCAGAACTACCTAATGATTCGTCAATGCCGGATGAGATAGCCGTGGACCCTCTCATTGATTTAACTACTAACAACAATGAGATTGAGGGAGCACCGAATGGTCCGAGTGATTCAAAACGATTAAAATCTGTGGTATGGGAGCATTTTACCAAAAAGGTAGTTAACGGAGTGGATAAAGCAGAGTGCAATTATTGCAAAAAATTACTTGGGGGGCAAAGTAAGAATGGAACAAAGCATCTGCATGATCATCACAGATCTTGTAAGATGAAACCCATCCAAAACTTGAAACAACAAACATTGTTACAACAACAGTGGAAGGCGGATGGAAAAATGGGTTTATCTACTTTCAAGTTTAATCCTGAGGTTACAAGGAGGGAACTTGCTTGCATGATCATTATGCATGAATATCCTCTTGCAATTGTTGATCATGAAGGTTTTAGGAGGTATACAGCTAGCCTTCAACCACTATTCGACATTCCTTCTCGAAATACAGTTAAGGCCGACATTTTGAAGATTTATGCGATGGAAAAGTTTAAAATTATGACACTGTTCAACACAAATACAAGTAGGATTGCCTTAACTACAGATATGTGGACATCTTCAAATCAAAAGAAAGGCTACATGGCAATCACAGCACATTTCATTGATAATGATTGGAAACTACAGAGTATGCTTATGAGGTATGTTTCAGTCTTATAGTTATTTTCATTTCTTTATTAGGATATTTTATTTGTTATATTATTAGTTGTGTAATCTTTTATTTCGTTTGCATTTTTAGGTTTATTTATGTGCCTTGTCCACACACAGCTGTAGCTCTTTCTAAGGAATTGTTGAAATCTGTTTATGATTGGAATATTGAAAGGAAATTGTCTACATTGACGGTTGATAATTGTTCTACAAATGATGCACTTGTTAACATCCTTGTAACTAAGCTAGGGTCTTCTCATCTCTTGTTACGTGGGAGTTTATTTCACATGCGTTGTTGTGCTCATATTTTGAATATAATTGTTCAAGATGGATTAAAAGTTATGGGTGACGGAATAGAAAGGGTGAGAGATAGTGTTGCTTATTGGTTGGCCACACCAAAAAGGAATGAAACTTTTAGAGAAAATGTGAGCCACTTGGGCATAGATAGTACTAAACAATTGGTGCTTGATTGTAAAACTCGATGGAATTCCACATATTTGATGCTTAGTGTTGCTTTAGAATACAAGGATGTTTTTATGCGTTTGAATGAACGAGATGTTCTCTTTACTTGTGCACCTGTTGATGATGATTGGAAGTTTGCTAAGGAAATTTGTGAAAGGTTGAAGTTGTTTTACAATGCGTCCAATAAATTTTCAGGGACAAAGTATCCAACGTCTAATATTTTCTTTCCATTGATGTGTGAAATCAAGTTTGCTTTGCGTAGTTGGATTGCATGTCCTAATGAGATTATTGCAAATATGGCTAAAAGTATGTTGTTGAAATTTGATAAATATTGGGAGGTAGTTCATGGACTTATGGCTGTGGCTAACATTCTTGACCCGAGATATAAGTTAGATGTGATGGAGTTTTTTTTTCCTAAATTCTATGAAGACGGTGCTCAACAAGAAATGGATAGAGTTATGAAATATTGTAAGGATTTGGTGCAAGAGTATCAAAAGGCTCCTCAACCTACCAATAATGTTCAATCTGATTCTGAAATCTCGATAGGGGGTGATTCTGAAGATGGAGTTTTTTTTAATTCTGGATTTGATGCATATAAGGGTAGAGGTAATTCTGCAAGGGGATTGAAATCAGAGTTGGACAAATATTTTGAAGAAGAAAATATGCCAAGAAATGATCCTACGTTTAATGTTTTAGTTTGGTGGCAAGGTGTTGGACTTCGTTACCCAACATTGCGAATGATTGCAAGGGATATCTTAGCTGTACCCATTTCTACTGTGGCTTCAGAATCAGTTTTTAGCACTGGTGGTAGGGTTGTGACTCCTCATCGAAGTAGGCTCCACCCGAACACATTGGAGGGATTGATGTGTTCTCAAAGTTGGTTGTTGAAAGATGCCAAAGGCCAAGGTAATCAAATTTTATTAAATGACATTTATATATTGTTTTATGATATTATTGTATATTACATATGTATTGTTTATTGTAGTGGCCACTTGGAAAGATGCATATGGTACTATTTATGATGATTGTGGGATTAGTCATGAAGAACTTGAAGACATGGAGGTATATATATTAAACTTTATAACTATTCATGTATTGGGAGAAATGTTTGAACAATTAAGTAACTTATTTTGTTTTCTTTCAGATTGAAGAAGAAGATTGTGAAGGATGAAAAATGAATAATTGAAGGCTTTTATAGTATTGCTATTGTATTATTTTTAGTTTGCATTTGATATTTCGGATTGAAATTTGAACTTCGTTAGTTTGTATGGTATTAAAAATAGTTGAATGTTAATTGTTCAAGAATTATAGTTTTAAAAATAACTCTACTAGGACTTTGGATTTCATTTTTTTTTTCTTTTGTATTTTTAAAAATTGTATTAATTTGAGACTTTGACTATAGGTTGATCGGGGATGGGGATTCCCCGTCCCCGCCAAATTCCCCGCGGGGACGGGGACGGGGAATTTTTTCAATTCCCCGCCGGGGACGGGGACGGGGTCGGGGTAGCGGGGACGGGGATGGGGACTATACTCCCCGCCCCCGCCCCGCCCCGTTGCCATCCCTAATGATAAAGGGTATGCAGCTTAGCAGATCTGCAGTTGCGCTATTTGGAAGTGTAAGGAGAGGGTGATTACTATTTTGTTGTCTGAATCCATCTCCATATCATTACTGTTCTGTTTTTCCATATTAGAAGTTAGTTAATTTTGTAATGAATGCTAAATAAGTATCATTTTTAAGGTTTGGATTCATGACTGTGGGACCACCTCAGAAGTTCAATTTCATTTTTTTTTTATTTAATAGACCCTACAACGTCGGTTATTTCCTAATAACTGACGTTGTATACTAGTTAAAAAAAAAATTCGAATAGTATACACACAATGTCGGTTATTAATAAATAACCAACGTTGTATGTATACTATTAAAAAAAAAATTACAACGTCGGTTTCATATAGCCGACGTTGTATGTTTACCATACAACGTCGCCTACATCAACGTTGCTTTTTAGCCGACGTTAAAGGGTCTAAATAGCCGATGTTAAAGGTTATCTGTGTAGTAGTGAGAACTCCATGCATTCTCAGATTCTGACTGGATTGGATGCCCAGAGGACCGCAAGTCCACCTAAAATGGTTTTGCTGTGTTTCTTAGACCTAATCTCGTCTCTTGGGTCTGTAAGAAACAAAGAACTGTTGCTAGATCTTCTACGGAGGCAGAATACAAAGTTCTAGCAGATGTCTGTGCTAAAGTAACATGGATAGTCTCTTTGCTACGTGAGATTAAAGTGTCAGGTATATCTGTTCCAAAGTTATAGTGTGATAATCTTGGTGCTACTTATATGTGTTAAAACCCCATCTTCCATGCTCGTACCAAGCACGTGGAAATTGACTATCACTTCGTTCGAGACAAAGTCGCTTCTGGAGACATTCAAGTTAACTTCATCTCTACGAAAGATCAACTTGTAGACATATTTACTAAAGCTTTACCTAGTCCTAGATTTTCTTTTCATAGAGACAAGCTACAGGTTACTAGTTTACCATGTGTGTAACACCTACAAAACTAGACAAAATTAAAAGCATTTAAACTTAGGAATTAAAGGTAAATCTAACCATCATAATATAAAGGTTGCGGAAGCTAAACATAAGTATACGGGGATGTCATGCCACATCTAGGCCATCCAAACCTAGATGCACAGACTTAAACAAAACTAACTATCCAACCAGTCAATAATATCCAAAGTGGCTCACAGGCCAAACAAGCTATGTACGGGAAGATAAAGCTAAGTCTAAACCGGGGCTCCATCTAATGTGCTCTCGGGTCACTAACTGCACCTGAAAACATAAGGTTAGACAACCGTTAGCGATAATGCTAAGCAACCCAACTCCAATGCGTTGAAATACATATTCATATACTTTATAGATAAAATCATTTTGAGACTTGGGAATACATAAGGATATCACTAAGCAACACTAGCTTTATAAATCATGAGGAATAGAAGTAGTACTCGACTCATCGAGTGATGCACTCGACAATACCAATCAATACACAAGAATACCAATATAATCAACCCAACAAGACAATTTATAATGGAATAAGGACAACAAGCAAGATAGGGTAATCACAATCATCAACAAGGTGGTTCTCATCATGTTACATCATCAATGATCGACAAGGTTCCAAATCCTCAAAGGACATAGCCAAACCAAGTCATTCACCGCGGAGTCATCGCAATGACTCGTTACCATAGTGGATTAGTGTGGAGGGCTCCAAATTAGTACCAATGTCACAAGTGACCAAACAATCAATGTCCAATGGAAACAGATCTAGCAACTTTAAGTGTATACACCCCCTATTGGGATTCCAAGCCCAACGGGTTAGCTACTATCTCTGACAACCCAGAATACGTTTTGACCAGGTTGCTCGCAAATCAATAATCCAAACGGCAACCCAGAGCTTTCCACACTACTGGATCAGTTCACAATGGTTGATCAGGGCTTTCCACACCACCGACATGTCAAGGGCTTCCCACACCAAAATTTAATTTTATAAATCAAGTTTTAAGAAATTCCAAAATAGCCATTTTTCACTCCATAAAAATTTTTGCAATGAAATCGGTGTTAGAATAAATTATTTTGAGCCACTTTTAAATAAGTTCAACACCGGAACATGATTTGAAACAAAAATCCTAAATTTTCGGGTACATTGCATACCAAGTTTTGAACTGAAAAGTCATTCTGAGTGAGACCGGGAGAAATCTGAGAAGCCTAAATCAAGTATTCATCTAGAAATCATTTTTGGGAAATTCAATTTCAACGGCAAACTATTTTGAATCTTGATTTTGGTCCTTGTTTCATGAAGCATGGTGGACCACAAACTATCCAAGAACTTTGTCTGATTCACCTTTTAGCCAAGCTTTACCTTTATACCCTCCACCAATCATTAGTGCACAACACAGTGTGCACAAGATGAGGCACGGATCTAGCCAACGACCCTTGGGAGGAGCCGTTGGCTAGGGCCGTGGAGGAGCGGCCCTAGGGCACGGCTCTAGGCAAGAGCCGTGGCCCTAGGCCGCCGCTTGGCGGTTCTAGGCGGCGGGGCTCCTCAAGCCCTGCCACGAGCCCCGCTAAACAGAAGATGTGCAGTGGACGGGGCCTTGTGGCTCAGCTACGTGTTGTTTCAGATCGGGACTCACGGGCCCTTGAGGCTCGAACACTCGGGGCCGTTATGACGCACGTTTAGAAATTGATTTCATGGGATTTGGAGTAGAATTGAGCATTGTGTGATAGAAATTGTGAAGAAGAATGTTACAGAGGTTGTTGGTGAATGTTTACAGTGAAGGAAAATGCTGAGTGTTGGTTTTGGCTATTTATTTGAGAAGCATGTCAATTATATGAATGTTAGATAATGAAATATGATCAATATTTGTTATGTTTTGCTAGAAAAGCATGCCTAGATGTCTAATTGACTTGTTCAGATTATTTCCAGGAATATCACAGTGTACAGAGCATGTTTACAGTAAATGAGAATATGTTGAGCATTTTGAGTTCATGTGCATGTTGAATACTTGCTAAGTGTTTGCCAATGAAGAATTGCTAAATTATGATTTATGAGCATGTTTATAGAATTATTGAGAATCCACAGTGAAAAGATAATTGAAGTTCATTCTACAGTAAAGTGCATATTTGAGCATACCATGTTTTAAAATGCATAAGTGGCCAAAGTGAGCCTAAGTATTATTTTCAAAAAGCTCATATCTATTTTAGAAAATCATTTTCTGTTGCATTGAGAAATTGTTGAGAAGCTATGTGCATAAGTTTGCATAAGTAAAGAAGTTGCATGAGATATATGTATGCTATCTATACAAGTGAGGAAAATCTATGTTTTGGAGGCCCGTTAGGACTATGTCCTTTCGAAAGAAAAGAGATAAGAACGGATAGAACCGACAAATAGTGAAAGAAAGAAAGCAAAGCAAGAAACAGACATTGCGATCTGATATGAAGTAACGAGGTAGATATTCCCGAGTTACTAGGTTGGGAACTGCCCGCCAGGCTTGGAATCCTGGTCAGGGGGTGTGCACGCTGATAGTTCGATACGTGATTCCACAGAGTTTGAGAAAAGAAACAAGAGAGTGGTTCAACGGGGGAGATGAGTATTAGGCCGGCTAGATGCCAAGTGTAACACCCCGAAATTTTGAAACTTTAAAAACTTATATGATAAAGGTAATTTCTCATAAAATCCCAAACAGAGCATTACTAATTATAAGTGTACGGGGTGCTATGCCACATCTGAGCTGGAGAACTCAGATGCACAAGCTACACTAACTAAATATCCTCAATACATCATTGTGGCACGCAGGCCGAAAGGAAAGACTATCTATCTAATCCACGGTCTTTTAGCGCGCTCTAGGATCTACTCATCTGTGCCTGAAAGCCAAATATATCTGTTCAGCGAGAGATGCCGGTAACCCACTCCAACGCGTTGAAATACATTATAGATAGATATATATAGATATACGAAAATCATTTTGAAGCAGGAAGATATATACTTAAGAGACACTAGTTTTAAAAACCGGGAATAGACTCAGCAATTAGGGATAAGCACATCAAACAATAATAAACAGTTAAGTAGAGATAACATCATAAGGAATATGCATCTAAGGTCACAGATCACTTTCCAATTAAAACACATCATTATTCAATCACCATTCATATCACATAATCGTTGATGACGCTACGGGACCAATCGCATGCCCCGAACATGAGGGTTAATGCTTATAGCATTAACACGGCCCCGCAGCACCCTACCTCAGTACCGTGGTACTAGGGGAGTTGATCGCAACCAACCCCTTGAGAACCGCTGACGAACTCAACGTCGGACCACGATCCGACACACCGCTGACGCGCACAGTCGGTGGACCGCGATCCCCTTTACAAGGGGGGACTTACGACCCTACACACCGTTGATGCGTACAGTCGGTACGCGGATCAAGCCCGACACACCGCTGAGCTAAACTCAGTCGGTGGGCGAAGATCCTCGGAGACTACGGCCCTACACACCGCTGTCCCATCACTCGGTGGATCGCAGCCAGCTGTAGCCTTACACACCGCCTGATTACTCAGGTCGGTGGACTACAGCCTTCCTCGGCTTGTTGGCCCTACACACCGCCTGGCGCGTCCAGGTCGGTGGGTCATATCA